TGAGCTGCACTAATTCAAGATATTCAATGAATTAGCATGGTAGATGAAGGGTGAAAAGATGAATGTAGGCACTAAGTTGGCACAGGGGTATATAGAACGAGAAGGAATAGGAAGAGGGAATAGGTTTCTTTGGTTTGCATGGGTGGGGCATGGGGAGTGTGTAGGGCTGAGGAGCTGTGAGGGATTGTGAAGGATGAAGGCTAGAGGAATGCCTTCTACTTTTCCTCTTTTGATGAGTTAAGATACCCATTGGATCTTGGCCTGGAGCGACTTTGGGGGAGGTAAGATATCCTTTAGCATTGTAAAAAGGCATACTTGTGCGTAAAAAGTGCATGAATCCATTTGAACTTGCAAAGTTGTCAAGAAATTGTCCAAAAAATGTGGAGCTAACAAAAAAAAAGCTGGGTAGTTCAGAGTGCCTGGTTATTTAAATCCACGATAGGTTTTGGTGCTACATGACTGATTTCCCAAACAATAATTTTCACATTGGGGTGCCTATTGATGAACATTCCCCTTGTTTATTGAATGGAAACATTTGTTGACATATAATTTTAAGTACATAATGTCAGATATTAGTTGAAGCAATTACAATGTATTGGGTTTTATTTTACAGTGGGAGTGTATTTTTTTTCACTAGTGACATTACAAATAGACAGATAACTTTATTTTCTGTCAGGATGCCTCCCAATTAATGCCAATGCTGGACAACAGATGAGCTGGCATTGACAGGAAAGGGCAAAAGGCAGTGGCTGAGGAGATCTAAGTTGGAATGGCTGTAGGAAGAAAAAGCAGGGGGAATGTTTTCTGTTTTAATCTTTATGTTTAAAGTTTGAACACTGCCAGAGGCCCAGGCAGTCTTTCTGTCTAGCTCACCTTAGGAACTGGGAAGCCTCTTAGATTCTTGCTTGTCGGCTGGCCTGGCTCACAGTACAGCCCACATCCCTGGACTGAGAATAGGAAAGTTTGAAATTGTGGAACCAGGATTTCTACTGACTGTACTCCAGACCTGGGAACAAAAATCAGGGCCTATTCCTTTGTTTATGAAGTCATGGATCTGGTCAACCTCAAATCAACCTCATTAATTTGTCCAGTCAGTAATAAAGATTGGGTTCATACATCTTTCAGGTCTCTCTCATCTTGAAACCCTTTTAAAATTGTGCTAATTAGATTGTACTGCCTCTCGTCAGTCTTCTTACTTTAAGAGCCAAGACTTTTTATTTTTGTGTCCTTAAAGACTGCAAGGAGAATGATCTATTTATAAATAAAACAAGGAATTACTGGGATGGCTGCATAATTTCACAGCAGGGAATTTGAAACCTATTGTGAACTCTGTTTTTGTGGGTGGGGGTTCCTACAATGTGTAGAAGGTCAGGAGCTGAGGAGATGTTTAGAAGTGAAGCTGGTGTTTCTCGGCTAATAGAGCAGGTTGGAACTGGAAACAAGTTACAGAGACACAGGCACAGAGGGAGACAGAGAAAGATGCAGAGGGGTGTGCAATTGTTCTTCCCAGGAGAAGCTACCCATTTTTGCAGTTGATAAAAATCAGTTTCAACTTGAAGAATTGGTTACCCTTTGCTGCTGTTATCGCTGTGAGCTGTGACTTTTGAATTGATAGATCAGAGACGTTTTCCAAGTCAATCTTTTTTTCTACTTCCACCAATAGTGTATTTTCTTTGTGTGTGTATGTTGGGGAAGTTATAAATGTATTAGTTATTAATGCTATATGCCAATGAGTATATATCTGTTTACTTGCAGCTACAGTCTAATTACTTACAATAAATAATAATTCTTGTTTAAGGACGGAAACCTGGTCTATTCTTTCTATTAAGATTAGGCTGAAAGTCAGATAGATTGGGGTGCTGTGTGTACCTGAAAAGAAACTTCAATTTTTGGTACAACTCTAGGATTAGTGGGGCTCGATTTCATAAGTCATAACATTACCAAATGTATCACTTCATATTCTTTGAATTAAATATTTTTCATGGGATGTGGGCGTCACTGGCTAGGCCAGTATTTATCACCCATTTCTAATTGCCCTGAAGGCAGTTAAGAGTCATCCACACTGCTATGGATCTGGAATCACATGTAGGCAGTTTCCTTCCCTAAATGACATTCATGAGCCAGATGGGTTTTTTTCCTGACAATTGGCCTGGGTTTCATGATCATCATTATACTCTTAATGCTAGATATTTTAATTGAATCCAAATGCCAGCGTCTGCCATGGCAAGATTTGAACACACTTCCCCAGACCATTACCTGGGTCTCTGGCTTAGTAGTCTAGCAATAATATTACTAGGCCATCACCTTCCCAAATTCCATTTGCTATGTGCCTGCTCTTTTCACTAGTCTGTCTATGTCCTCCTGAAGTCTATTTTTACCCTTCTTTCTGTACATTAAATTTCCAAGTTTCATGTCATCAGCAAACTTTGAAGTGACGCCTTGTCTAGTCTATGATTATACATTTTAAAAGTGCAATGATCCTAAGATCAGCTGCCTGGTTTGGCAATAAAAGCTTTACCCTATCCACATACTTAAGGGAGTAAAATTCTGCTTGAATGCTCCATGATCCTCAAATGTATTTAAATAAAGCTACTGAAAATTCCATATCTTTCCTGATTGTGGTAGCCTGTTGACCCATACTAACACGCTCCTTATCTCCTTTCCATCTAATGGAACCATGACAAGCCAATAGCGTATTTGCCCTTCTCAGTAAATACCTATACCATTTGCCTTCAACTTGATTCTAACTAAATACCTGTTCAGCGCCTTTCTGGGAAAGATGACTGTCCATCTACTACACAAATCCATGAGTCAAAACCACAATGCAATATTTCTTTGTGAAGGCATGTAATTTCAAATGTCTTTCTAGAGATTCTAAGTCACATTTATCTAGAGAAGAAGCACATATTTTTAGTGCTGTAGATTTGAACTCAATTATTTTTATCAAAATGCAATGTAAGGGATAATAATACAATGGTTTATATGAAACATCTGAAAATGTCATTTCAAATGGAATCACTCCAATAGGCAGACATGTTAAAATATTACAGTCTTCCTCGTCGAATGCTTGAAACCAATACCCTTCACATTCAACTTTAAGTTTAGTTTATCATTTATAATTAAATGTGATTCTACTTGTCTTTAGTTTCTAATACCAAAATTCATCAGAGTTCAGAATTAGGCTTAAAATATATTTATATTATACTTAGTTATGTTAAGATAAAATGTTTTCAATATCTTGCATTTGGTTTTTTCACATCAAAGGTGATCAATCCACAAACCAATGAACATCTAGCAGTATCCTCAAATAAAAGAAAATCATAAACATGTCCTGTGTTTGCCAGCCTCTGAAAGAGACAGTATGAGTTAACATTTTGAATGTCAATCATCAGTAGAATACCAGAGTCATTAGTTTACCTTTTGTGTTTGCCACAAATTATTTGTTAACATTCTCTCCATTGAGTATGAAACTTGTAGGGCCAGTACCATCTGGGAATTCATCACAAAAACTCACATTCTATTGCAATATTAAGGAAGTGCTGCATGGTTGGAGGGGCTGTATCTTAAGATGAGGAAATAAACTGAGGCCCTAAGATGGATGTAAAACACATCTCAGATGGATGTAAAACACTCCTTCACGCTATTTAGAAGAATATCACAAAAATATTCCTGCTCATTACCACATTGTTGTTAGTGGAAGCTTTCTGTGCAAAAATTAGCTGTATTGTGTCTGCCATTACAATAATGAGAACAGTGAGCACATGTCAAAAGTATCTAATTGATTGTAAAGCACTTTGGAACATTCTGAGATTGTGAAAGGCTCTACATAAATGTAAGCTTTTCTTTTTCTTTTCAGATTCTGAAGGGCCAGCTGTATTTTCCCAGAATTATCATTATTTTCAACATTTCCAGTTTTTGTTCCTTTTATATCCGCTACTTTTACTCTCTGTTGTACGTTAATGTTTTCAGGAGGATCTTTGATGTGGATCAAATGTTCATAAATTATATTACTGCCATCTGTACAGAATCAGCTGAACCACAAAAGGCTGGAAATTTTAAAAATAAGTGACTTACAACCAAAGTGCCTTCAATTTTTGTTTTCTGCAATCTTTTTGCATTTGTTACAGATTCAATTCACCTAAATCAGGCCATTTCCTCAAATCTAGTCATAGGTACTATGTCAAAATTGTGAATTCCACTGTTTGGGAAAAATTGTGTTCTTTCCTTAGACATACAGGCCATGAGTAATCATGCCTTAAAAGTTTTAATATTTAAAAAATGACTAAGTACTAACCAATGTAATAAATTATTAAGTGGCTCAGCATATGTTTGTACAGCCACTTTCAGTCATTTTGAGCCATGTTATTCACAGGAGGACGACAAACCCTTGATTAAAATGTTTATTTTTCATACTGAAGCCATTTTTATTTGCATTGACAAAGCTGCACCTAATTAACAATCTTAAATATAAAAAATACATTTTAATGGAAAAAAGAATTACTGGGCAGCATTGTGGCTCAGTGGTTAGCAGCGCTGCCTCACAGTGCCAGGGACCCAGGTTTGATTCTGCCCTCAGGCGACTGTGTGTGTGGAGTTTCATATTCTCCCCAAATCGGTGTGGGTTTCCTCCGATGCTCCAGTTTCCTCCCACAGTTGAAAGATATGCAGGTTAGGTGGATTGGCCAGGGGAAATACAGGATCACAGGGATTAGGTGGGGAGGCGGGTCTATGTGGGGTGCTCTTCGGAGGGCCGGTGTGGACTCAATAGGCTGAATGGCCTGTTTCTACACTGTAGGCATTCTATGAATTACACTTTATTAATGCTTCCAGATTGCACTTGTCCAAGGAATATTTTTCATCTGTGAGAGTGCAAATTATTTCTTAACAAAAATTTTGTAACATAATGAGCATAATTTCAGTAATCATTTTGGTGCAATTTCTCAAGTGAAATCTATTCTCCAATGTATTTTTAAATAAGTAATTTATTTGTTGGCACATACCTGTTTCTGTAACAATCTCAGAGAAGGAATGTTGCATTTTTTGGTGATGACAGTTATAGTTCTGATCGAGTCTAGCATACTTAGTTCCTTTTTTCATACTTGGAAGGAATAAACAGAAATGAGCAGACCCTTCAGGTAGACTTGGAGCATCTTTTATAGCAGAATGCACATGTCCATTACATTGGTATATAGTTTTACAATCTTTCTGAGCAGTTGATATTTGTTCCTGAATGCAGTCATTGTCTGTCAGGGATACATCCAATGTTTTCTGATCCAAATCAACTTTTTGTTTTGGGTTTTCTATGAATGGAATGAGTTTAACTGTGCCATTGCCACCATCTGCTGATGATATGGAAGAAGTGCAATTTAGCTTGAAGGATAAAGTTGTTTTCTGTTTTAATCCATTGTTTGTAAGAGAGCAAAAATCAACCAAAAAAGATTTGTCTAAATAATACGCACTCTTGAAGCATTGTGGTTGAACTTCAAAATGTGAAAAGGATACAACTGACTGAAACTGCTGTGCAAGATGGTGGGTTTTGTTACCATTGTTGCTGAGCAGCAAGATTTCGGGATGCCTGCTATCAATTTTTAAAGAACCGGGCCTGTCTTCTGTTGAATGTAATACTGAGTGAGGCTCAGAACATTTCACTGCAACTGTATATCCATCACAAAGAAATTCATTGACATTATCTGTGCGGGAATGAACGTGCATAATGCCTTCAGAACTCTTGAAATTTTTCAGAACTTTCACAGATCTGTCACGTGCTGTTGCTTTTTTCTCATCAGTAGAAGCGCTAACAGTTTGTTTGGAAGTATTGTTAACTGGGCCCATCAATTTTCGGGCTGTAATTGTAATGGAGGAAAACCCTTTCCTGGATTTTGTTAAGATTCTACCTTTTCTCCAATGCATAGTGGAGTCCAAAATGCTATACTCAACTGGCATTTTTGACAGTGATGTGTGTAGTGTTTTAACATTTGGATTTCTTAATAATTGATGGGAGTGTCCAGGCTGGACATGCTGTAAACAAATAGATGAAGCACAGGAATGCTCGTTGCTTGCTTCCTCTCTGATTGCTAGTGAGATAAGAGCAGATGGAATCATTGCAGTGTCTTTGCTGGATGTTACATACAGCTGTAAAGAAAAAGAAAATTGCAAATTAGTCGTCAGTAACATGCCAAGAACTGTATAATTAAAGTGCTAAGATCCTTTATGCTAAAGTTGCTTCAATATTTTCTATTCTAATTCCTTCTAATTGAATGAAAATGAACATTAGCACTTTAATCCTATTAAATGAGACAAAATTGCACATATAAAATTGAAAGCTTGGCTTAAATTGCAGAATTGAGACAGTTACGTTAATGCTCATGTAAAAAGCTGCCGAGTCTTTTTTCATTCAGCTAGGTGGCATGCATTTACAAGAAATTCCTTTCCTATGTATCATACCATGTGAGTGCAATCCAATGTAAAATCTACAATCCTGAGGGATAATGCATACAATGACTAATTGCACATTGGAAAGGAGTAGCACTTAAAGTTGCATGTTTATAGTATACTGTTACACATATCTTATAGTTATTAACGTAAACTAAATGATACTGGAAAACTGCCAATGGTGACAATTGAATGCAAATATCAAGATTAATGATTTTTCATCACATGTCCATTATGCAATTTAAATCACTCCTGATTCAGTAACTTTGCTTACTATGTTTTTATTTTTGAAAGCAAACACAATCCAAATTTAGTACTGAGGACATCTATGTAATACCAGTGTTGACACATAAATCTTGCTGATTTTATTTGGTTTGGACCAGCTGAGAAAATCTGATAGCCTCAAAAATCGGATGTGTTTTGCTTTAATTTTTAGTTTTTAGTTGGGTTATGCATTTACAGGATTCTCTCATTTCAAATAAATATGAACTATAATGATTGTCTATCATTTAAAATGTCTGTTACTTCATGCCTTAGCAATTGTGGTTTTGATTAATTAGAACCTTGATGTCAAATACACTGTAGCTTTTCAATGAACAAACTGGCACAATAAAATTCATGGCATGGCTCTGAAGAAATGAAAAAGCAGTATAGAAAAATGGGGAAGATCTCCAGTGCAGGTGAAAGATTCCACGTGACCCACTGCTTCCCTTGCATTAATGGTTCTTTTATTGCAATGTTGGCAATACTATTTCCGCATTGCAGTCCCGTTACTGCTTTTCACAACAACATAGCAGCCAGAGGCTGTGGTGTTTTGCATCAGTCAGTTAACACACATGCAAATCTAAGCATAATGTTTGAGTGGGATATAAATGGCTTTTAAGTTTAAATGCCTCCAGAGTATTTTTGTGTTCAATTTGTGAAATTGCACTTTCTATAGCAGGATCACACAATATTCCCAGACAATACAGAAAGCCAATATTGAGGTATATTTACTTGTGAACTACATCTTTGGCAATGATTCATTCCCCACCTTCCCCCACACCCCCTCCCTGCATCCCCCTACGTGTCTCCATTTGAAAAATAAAAAGCTGAAAGTGATTATTATTAATATACAGCCTCTCAGGTCCAAAAGCAATTTAAAAAGTAATTCAGTGTTGACCACAAAAGAATTGCCTACCATATTGCATGGTAATAACATTGAATAGATATGGCTGCGGTGCTCTGACAGGGAAAACTTGCCCTTGTTTGTCTTGGAATGTGTGAAAAATGAGAGAACTGTTAGTTTTAAATGAAGATTTAAGTTTATTGTCAGTATTCTTAACTCGTTGGATGACTTATTTATGAGTTTGTATTTTAGGTTATTCAACCGAAACACATCTTCACCTAAAATAAACAAAGGGGGTTCTGCTATAAAGCAAAAGTTGCGTTCCTGAGCAACACCGTGTTATAGAAAATTGTGCTATAGAAATAATGCGGCCTATGGGAATAACGGGGTTAGAGAATGACCACTAAAAAAATCACTCAAAATCACTCAAAAGCCTAACAGAAAGGATGGCACAGTTTGAATAAATGTTTTATTCATATCTGATAATGAAATAAAAGTAAATTAACACCTTATCTTGAAAAAAATGTCAAGGTGACTTGATGGAGGAGAAGGTTTTGAGGTTGCTCTGTTGTTAATGCAGGGGCTGAGGGTCATCATCATCGTTATCATCATCACCTTCAGGTGCAGTTGTGGTTGCAGGGTTAGGGCAAAAAATAGTTAATCCAGAAGTGGATGGCTGCGGTTCATTGTCTTCTGACTGTTTCTTGGGGGTTGGCTGGTTTTTGCTGCTTTGCCCTTTCTCTTCTTTCATGAAGAAGCTGTTCATAGGGTGTAAATAAGATCTTATTCCACGAACTGCTACCCTGCTGCGTTCTGCATTGTAGTTGTTGTCCTCTAACGGCTGCAACTGCTTCTCAATTTCCGTCAGGACAGGAGACAAAATAGAAGTGGAAAGCTCCCGTTGTCCTGCATCCTAGACTTTATCTTGTTCATCTCCAGCTTTCACACCCCCCTCAGCAACAAGTTGTTGTAGGTCAGCTGTAGAGAGGTCTTCACACCAGGACTCAAGCAGCTCTTCAACATCCTCACTCTCCAGTTCTTCAAATCCAACTTGCTTTGCAAGATCAACACAATGTTCTTTGATTCTTAGGAGCGTCTCTGACAGATCAAAGCTTTTAAAGTCTTGAAAAAAAATCTGGGAAAAGCTTCTGCCAAACTGCATGTAAGCAGTCCTTACTGACATTACCCCAGGCATCCACAATAATGTCAATTGCATTCTTGATGTTGAAGCTCTTCTAAAATTGAAGAGCACTGTCCTTATCCCCCTCAGTGGCTGCAATTAGCCTGGTAAATTTGTGCCTTAAATAATAAGCGTTAATGCTGCCTTTGCACCCTGGTCCATGGGTTAAAGGAGAAAGAGTGTTTGGGAATAGAAATAGCACTTTGTTGTTAGTGGGAGGATGGCTTGGCACATTATCCAGGATGAGGAGAACCTTGAAATCCAAATTTTTTTCCTGCAATACTTTCGACGAACATCTTCCAAAACATCAACAATAAGATCAGAAAAAATTTGCTCTGTCATTCAACCTCATTTGCTTGACCTAAAGTAGACACCTAGAGTAGACTTAAGGTAACCTTTCAAGACTCGTGGGTTGGCAGAGTGGTACACCACCACAGGCTTAAGCTTTAAGTCTCCCCTGGCATTAGCACCCAGTAGCACTGTCATACGATCATTTGCCATCTTAAAGCCTGGAGAGTGTGCTTCATTCATAGAAATGTAGGTTCTTGTAGGTATTCTCTTCCAGTATAAATCTGTCTCATCCAAATTGAAAATTTGATCTAAGCTGTAGCCTTCTTTGTCAATGAATCTTTTTACTATGGGAGGAAATGCCATTGCATGCTTCTCATCTGCACTGGCAGCTTTGCCACATAACTTTACCATGTGAAAAGCATAGCTGTTCTTAAAACCAGCAAACCAGTCACTGCTAACACCAAAGGCAGGCACATCTGCATGATTTTCAGCTTTTTTTGTTAGATCTTCGTAAATTGATAAGGCTTTCTCTTTCATGGTGACAAAGGTGGTCCCAGATCGTTTTTTCGTTTGATCTTCTATCTACCCACTTAGAAGCCACTCCATCTCCTCAAATTCCTTTGTCCGTGACCTCACAGATTTGCTAGCATTCAGACTAGTTCCAGCAATAGAGCTTGCTTTAATCTTTTCTGCCTTGCCTCTAATGGTGCATAAGGCAAACTCCTTTACTCCTGTTATGTGAACTATATCACATATTCTCTCATTACGCTCAAAACACTTTATAATGTCTAGATTCTCTTTCAGTATTATAACTTTTCTTTTACGTAGACCACCTGCAATTTTATCACCAGGCTGCTTCTTGCTGACATTCTTGTCACTTTGTTCTTGCATTTTTGTGGGTAACAAAGCAGAATTTGCAAAAAAAACTGAGTACTGTACTTTGCACAGAAAGCGCAATGATCGCGTGATGCTGGTGTGGAGACTCGTTTGGAACTAACATTGCGCACGCTCAGGACAAAGCCTGTGAAACGATCACGTAATGTCGACGCATGAATCGCATTATAGCCAACATTATAGCATTCCCCTATTCGTCAGTCGTGTTATAGCCAAATCACGTTGCCAAATCAGGCGTTATAGCAGAATCCCCTGAATGGCATTTGCAAGGCCTCAGTGCTCTCTAAGTATAGTAGTGCTCCTGACATACCTTATGCTGGGAACCTGGGCACAGAATCAGCAGTCCATATGAAAGATCAAGGCTGCAGAGAGAAACTAGTCCTCGCTCCATGCACAGCATTTTGTCAAGTTGCTCAGTACGCAGAGCTTGTGAGGGCACAGAGCAGAAAATAAGCTTGAAAAGCCAAGAATTCCCAGCCCTCTCTCACTTAAACGTTCCAATTGGAACAACATCTATTTGCAGCCCCAGACTTGGGAAAAATTCTGGGAAATTCCAAGACAGGTTTGGAGGCCTGATGCCTGTCACGTCAGCCTGAAAGCTTACTGTCTGTTTCTCTTTCTTGATTTTTCTGGGAAATAGTGTTAACCAGGTGGAAC